TAACATGTTAAAAATAACGTAAAAATAAGTATAATAGTACGTATAAATAAGTATAGGCCGCGAAAATTTTCATATAAAAACAGCGCATTCAATATCCAAATACTTTGTCGAAAGTATCAAATTATCATATTCACATAGATTGAAAACCCATTTCAAGCTAAGGCACCACCTTTTTGTAACAATGTCTGTTCAATAAATTGTTTGTGAATATGCACTTCAATTGAGTGTCGTAATCATATTGAATACCTTTGGACACACGGCCAGCCGCTGCAATTAAGACCCTAATGGCAGTCCATTCTCAATATGATGTTAACGAGATGCAATTATGTATTTTATATTATCGCCAAAGAAAAATGTATTCGCTGTTATGTGCGTAATTGCTGTTTAAGGTGTAGATATATCAATGCTATTCTGTTTTGGAAATGAAGAAAAACTAATATTAACTTAAAGTGAAATAAACCAATGTTTTGACTTGGTGCGCCGTGAATTTTGTTTTTGATGTATTGAGTACGCCGCTCAAAAAGATTGGGGTAACCCTGTTTTAGATTATAAGCTACTAAAAAATGGACAGAATGATATACCCATGAAAATATAATCCTCTCATTGCTTAATATTTCTAAATATAGCATACCAGCATAATTGTAATGCATTGCTATATTGGTAAAAACAAGTTAATTTATTACACGATTGGATTTTTAAGCGTGTCATTCATATATTCAAACATAAGTAAGACCTTCCTTATCTGCACGGATTCGCTTGGTGCCTAAAATGGCTGGACTGTACTAATTGTATCGTTTGCGAACGTGAAGTATGGATATTTAGTTCGTTTGGGCAATGAGCTAGCAGATGAATCGATCATACGAGACTGACACACACATATAATATGACGGGCATCCTATCCAGTTTTTAATTCGTGTTATACCTCGCTAACAGAAGTTAACATGTTGGAAGGGTGTGCAATGTACAGTATATATCGTGATGTATTTGAGGCATTATTGCTGTTGATCTGAAGGTGAACTGATATTCTTAAGATTTATGACCAAAAGGCTATCAACCTAGGTCATTCTATTCAATCCGCCGCACATAGCACAAATATGCCCATTGTATTCGCTGAAAATGTCTTTCATTTGGACAAAATATGTTTACTAAAATCATACATGGCTTGCAGTAAGTTTATGCATCAATATTCTGGTGTATAAATGAAATATGATATTAATTTCAAATCTTTATCCAAAAAAATATTTCTCGTATATTTTATGAAATGGCATATATTATATAAAGGAATAATTTCCGATTCACCAATTCTAATTACATTTGGCCGAGGTTCCTTATTTTCTTGTATGAATAATTTATTGCAATCATTTAGTAGTATTTGAATTGCAGCGCAATTTATTGCTCCTTGATCACACACAAGTGCCAAAACTATGTAATCTATTTCTATTAACCTACTTACAATTTCTTTATAAATTTTACTATTATTGTGAATTTAGTTGTTTCCTGAGTAAAACTATATGTTACAGGAAACTTCCACTTTTTTTGTATGCTTCTAATCATAAACACTTGTGTATGATCAGCTATTCTGTCAGTTGATTCAAAGCTTTCAAAGAATCAAGCTTTACAAGCGGAATCATTTCCGTTGGTCAATGGAAAAATGGACCGATAATTATTGTTAAACGATTACAAAAATATCAATAATAATCGTCGTCTCTTTGAACTTTGACGCGTGATTATCGAATACTATTTGACAAAATAAAAATTTTGAGAAAATAAATTTATCAAAGAAATTGAAAATATTACAAAAATATGTAGATACTATAAATAATAACTAAAATACGTTATTTATACGTACGTATAAATAATAATTAACGTACGGTTGTAACGCACTAACGGAAGAATATAGATTTTTTTTCCAAATCTAACAGTGTTTTTTAGTTTAACTCTAGTTAATTAGATTACTTATACCCTAGTGTGCATCGGGTGGTGGGATAATTCTGGTCGCCTCCAATTATGGAGTGTTAGATAAATCTGACTGTGTGATAAATCTCACGGCGGTCAATCGTGACGGAATGTCTGCAGCAGGGAAAACGCAAGGACACGAAATAAAGAATATATGAATTTTGGAAAAGATATAATTTTAAAAACCAAGTTTCGCTTCAGTCTCTTGTTCTAGTCACTTGCTACGAATGATAACGAACGGGATAAAGAACCAGAATCATCGACATCCAGCGCCGATTAGCAGCCTAAGCTACTCCAATCTTCGTACCTAGTGCTTGAGAAGTATAGAGGATTTAGTAGATAAAAACCAATTCTAAATAATTAGCAACACTGCGAAAACATACACTAAAATAATTAAAAACCTGAAAGAAATTATTGAATTGTGCTGAAAAATCTGCATCAAACAATAGAAGATGAGGAAATTAAAGAAAGCCTGCAAATACAAGGACATAAAACAATATATATTCCCAACATGAAACACCGATTGACAAAAAATAGCGATAATAATTAAAAGTGCTATCAAAACCACGAGAACCAGAGGAAAAGAACTTATGAAAACGGTAAGCAAATATAACTTTGATCAACTTTGCAAATATAACTTTGTCAACAGGTGAGCCAACTAATAGAAGAAAAATTGCAGATTTTAAAATTCGTACTACTCCCTGTGGAAAACAACGAATAAAATCAAATAACCAATTATCGCAATTCCACAAATTAGGCAAAAAGACGATAAGTGGGTTAGAAGAAAATTATAAAAAACGAACACATTCGCAGATCACATCACTAAGGTTTTTCCAATCGGATAACCCCGAACAAGAAGATGCCATCTATGATTTCTTCAAGACTCAATTCCTGATGGATCATCCAATCAAACCATTCAACTGCAGCGAAGTCCAATTCACCATACATAATAATGTAAAACTGAAGAAACCACAAGGATTACTGGAAAAGTACTGAAAGGACTCCTACCGAAAGGAGTTAAACTAATAACAACTATATTTAACGCGATATTACGTCTGTGTACATATCCTGTTCAATGTAAAGTAGCTCAGCTCATAGTAATTCTCAAACTCGGAAAACCAGCAAAAGATGTATCATAGTACAGACCAATCAGTCTACTACCAATTATATCTAAAGTTTTGGAAAAGTTATTACTACAATGTATGAGCCCAAAAAAAACAAAATATTCCCCGAACATCATTTTGCTTTTCGCAAGTTATATTATAGAACTAGAATAATTGAGTTAATTCTATAAAATCATAATAAAATAATGAAAAACTCTCAGAAAAATGTTTTAGTTAATTTTCTAAAAAATAATACATTTTTTTCAGAAATAATTAATGATTAATAATTTATCTAAAAGTTAGTATTAAAGTTTTAAAGTCTACGTGTTATTAATATTTTCTATAAATATAGTAAATATGAATTGTATGCATGATTCATGTACACTTTTGCAATCATTTCATTATTTTTTATCGTGTGTTTTCATATTTTTTTTGACTAATTATTAAATGCCAAATGTGGAAGAGGCACTAAATATTTTAAATCTCGTTGATCTATATTCATAAACACAGCCTAACAGCATAATAATAATGAATGTTAAGAGTGTGATTTGTGCATCTAAAGCAGTGTTTTCCACAACAATGATGTAAAAAATAACGATCTAGGAAAAATGTAATCAATCAAATATTTATTTTATTAAAAATTACATACGTTACTGAATTTTTTTCATTCATTGAAAAAGACTCCTTTTAATTCGTAATTTGAACATGGTTAATATGGTATATATTTTAACGCACGTACCCACTCTACCACGCATTTCATAAATTGGCCCTACTATAAAACTTTCATTTCATTCAAGCTCGAATAGCAGTTGTAGTGCGACAGTTAGCAGCCAATTTGTAAGTTCACTTCGAAATCCCGATTACCAAAATCCCGACAACCATAATCTAATCCTATTTTTATATAAAAAAAAACAAAGTTATTATTTAAATTCATGGAACTTAAGGACAATTGTTTGGATTAAAAAAATGTTCCATCTCGTTTATATGTTTTAAACTTTTACAGATGAAACTATTGTAATAATAATAATAGTTTTAAAAGTGATAAAAAAGAATAAGTATATAATTACAAAACGACTCTATCTTTGGCGCTTAGAAATGATGATTCACGTTTTGACTAAATTTGAATATTTGAAAAAGAAATAAGATATCTATGAAAATTATTACGTTTGTGAATAATTAATAGATGATGGACTAAGTTTTATCTGAAATAAAGGTATGTCCTGTATTTCCCTTTCTATTTGACGAGTCCAGCAATGTTAGTTCACGTTCCCAATTACCCATTTTCGTGACATATATTCAAAAGTTAAAGTGCTTGCACTCGAAGAAACCTCAGATTCTTTTTTGCTCCAACAATTAATTAGTGCGTCTACAGTGAAATCGTTGTGTGAGAGAAAATTCTGATTAACTTTTATTTTTCTGTTTCCACTAAAGAAAATGGAATCGATTTCTCATCTTTCGACACTGAAGGGCCCGATCAGATCGCTGAAATCTGAGCCAATGTTGTTCAGATTGTTCGAGGAGGTAGTAGTCGGCAGTGCGGAAGAACCAGCGTTGATTTTCGAAGGTATACATTAACTGTAAGTTATGTTGACTTTGCTAATGAATTTGTTGATATTTTGCATTTAGATTTCGGAGCAGTCAAGACGACCAGTTACCATGACTTGAATGCAACTGCAAATCGAATTGCTCGCTTGATTAAAGCCACCATCATGGAGAAGTCGATTCCACGCAATGCCGATGGAGATTATATAGTGGCAATTTGCATGCAGCCGAGCGATAAATTAATCTCAGTACTTCTGGCAGTTTGGAAAGCTGGTGCTGCCTACTTGCCTCTGGTTCCGACCTTCCCTGCTTTGCGAATCGAGCACATCCTTCGGGAATCCAAGCCGGCTCTGGTGATCTACGAGAATGAGGACAAGAGTTTTGGTGCGGTCTCCAAGTTCTCTGTGAAGGAACTGTTCTGTTTATCACATGAGTATGATTCTGGAAATCTCGAGGATCGTTTGAGTTCAAAAAAAGATGATTTG